CCAAGAACTGGACAAATCCAAAACTGGGCCATTACAAAAAATTAGTTCCAAGTATTTAAAGGGATTTCTCGTCTACGATAATTATGCCCAACAGGAAGCGTGGACAGAAATGGTTCCCTTATCCACTCTTTCTTCCTCACACAGAATAAGATTCCAAAGCTCAGGTAATGGCGAGCACTTCCATCTTTTATTCTACAATAATGGCTAAGGCTATTGCAGGCTTCAGCATTATCAAACCACACCTCAATACTTCTAATCTCCACCAACACAAATCAACCATCATCCCATATTCCAAACTGGTAACAGTATCATCTTTCTCCCTTTCGCCTCTAAATTCAATGTGCTCCATATGACCCATTATTTTACAATTCTTGCAGCTTTTCAACTCTGGGGTTTTCAGTCATCCACAACTGGTAATTGATTATATTTTGTTTCTGGATGAATTCAATATGCAGAAGTTCATATGTTATTATACATAAACAGCATGAAAGTACTACTACAAAAAAGCGCGAGAGGGGCTCTCTGGGGAAAGTAAATGCCTTCCCAGATTGGCAATTGATGGCGGTTCTAGTTGATCACATGGATGGCCAAAGGGACCTCATAACCCACAAATCAATAGTGCATCTCAGCGATGAAGCTATAAAGAATGTCTGTAAGTGTTTGATAAAACCCAACTTCTCTGTAAATCCATGAAGAAAGTTAGAGAGAATTGTGCTATTGGGAACTAACCTTCATTACTTTTAACCATTGTAAAAATGTCAGATAGTCTTTACATTATGTTCACCTGTTGGGGATGCCTGTTCTTTGGCTCCATGAAGGTATCAATATCATATCTTCAGTTTCAATCTGTAGTTAAAAAGCACTGTTTCAGATATTCGAGATAAAGATTAAAGAAAGGGATTATGTTTTTAGGATCCATATTATGACTCAGAGGTGTACAGAAAAGATGGAGGAGATGGAACAGGGCATTGGGTCTACGAAACGGTGAACTTATTTTCTGGGACTTAAGAAATGGCACCATTGTCACCTGTTTAGTTTCACTCTATCGTTTAACAAAGTTTGTATCTTTAATGTGTGGCGTTGCAGCAAGAGGACATTGAGGAAGCAGCAAGAGCAGAGCTATGGCGGGAGGAGCTGATTGAGGAGATTGAACAGAAGGTTGGAGGGCTTAGAGAGCTGGAAGAGGCTGGCAAGAAATAAGAGCTCAACAAGAAATCTTTTGCATCAAATTTATGTTCTTAATTTGACATGGCATAAACATTTTGTGTATAGATTAAACGCCTTGGGATGCTATAGATGTTGGTCATATAGCTTGATTGAAAATTAAAACCAACGACTGTTTTTCAGTAACATCTTGCAGTTCTGAACAAAATCAGAAGAAGCAGAAAATATCAGTTCCTTTTTGAAAATTTCAGAGGGAAATTGCCTCAGAGAAGAAAAATGCAGGTCTATAAATGCATCAGAGAGATTCCCAAAGACGATCATCATTCTCAAACCGAGTGCTGATGTCCCTGTCTGTTTCATCGTCACTTGCACAATTTAGAAACCAAACTCAAAATCTTGAAGAAAAAATGAACAAATCTCAAAGTATATTTAAAACTAAAACCATCACAGGCAAAGAGAATGGGGATAAATTAACGATTCGAAGATAAAGGAAGGAAAAAAATGAAAATTTAGATAAATTAACGATTGATTCACCGAGAAAGAAGAGAAGTCGAGACGGATTAATCCCAATAATGGAACTCCAAAGAAAATGGAATTCAATGTCACGTCAGAGCCTGAGAAACGAGGAAAGAAAGAACGGAGACGAATGGTTTTAGGGTTTGTGTACGGCGTCATATTATAGGGAAGGAAATCAGCGGCCAGTAGTCGTGAGGTGAAATCACGACCGTTGATCAAAGGAAACGAAGATCAATTTCATCAGTCCAATATGCACCGCTGCAGCCCAGTATTGAGGCCCATTAATTGTTTTGAACCCACTGGGTGTTCTATTATGGGCTTAAATGGGCCGAAATATTGAAGAAGGAATTTTCACTGTCATTCTTCTGCCACGTGCACGTAAGACATTTCAGAAATTTCTTAGGTTTAATATACCAATCAAAATATGGCGCTAAAATACTGATGTCTTTCAATGAAATGACTGCAGAATTACCATCCCATGTAGATTTATGTAGTTTTTTTTAGTATAACAAATTAAGTGGTTTCAACTTTCGACCTCACCAAGGAGTAGGTAAAAATTACCTTTATATTCACGTTGGTGCATGTTTATAGGTTTTTTGCAATTAATTGTGTTTCTTGTTTCTACTTTTTTTTTAAACATTCTCAAGATTTTATAGAATTATTTTTTTTAATACAACATGTTGGGGAGGAGATTCGAACTCACAACCTCTTGGCCGGTAGTATATGTCAATTACCGTTGAGCTATGCTCGTTTTAGCGAAAAAATAGAAATATTATCAAACGAGTCCGGAATGGTTTCATCCAATTTGAATAACGATTCAAACCTACTAACATTATGGCATTTATGTTACTGTTTAGGTACTTGACTAAATTGAAGGATGGGTTAGGTATTTATTAAATGCTTTTTATATTTCAACCCTAAACACATTTATTGTTTTTTTTCTCCAAAGGAAATTGAAATATTCTTGCATTTTGGACTCTACCTAGGCTAAGTAAAGGCACGGCGGGGTGATAATTGTATTTACATATGGTTGTGAATTTAACGTGATTTTTATTTTTTTTATATAAAAAAACGTGATTTTTATTTGCTTTGAGGTCATTTAAATGGGATGGTATAGAGTTACGTACAGTAAATTAAATTATAAATTGGTCCCCCAAATTTCATGAAGATTCTAATAAGTCTATAAAGTTTTAAAGCTGTGTATATTTGATCAATATATCTTAGGAAACTTTTTAATAGATGTATAAAGTTTTAATTTTGTGTATTAATAGTCACTGTTACCAATTCCATGACAGTTGTTTTAGGTAAGTTTGATGGTATAAGCATTCAACTAAATGAGTTCAATGGAAAGACATATATATATATATAGAAGGTTCCTCATATACTTTTAAAACATAGAGAAAGTTTTGGATTTGACCTTAGAATATTCAATTTCCTTTGAAAAAAAAATTCCGAGTAGAAATAATTGACACGTTATTTTAGATTATGTCATGTGAATTTTCAGTTCAAAATATTAACGGATGTTTGTCAGAAGATATATTTTGAATGTTTACTCAAGAGCAAAATTTAGACGTATTGGTGAGCAAATGCGCATAAAGTGGTAAATAAAGTGGTAAAGACTTTTGGATGCTGTGAAAGTTGAGGGTGAGGCATGGCCATAAACAAGTAGCCTACATTCATATTCCTTTGTGGAGAAGGAACTGTTTGCACTGGAAATTAAATGTATGGACTTAGCCCATCAGCCATGCCCATAAACTAAAAAAGTGCTAAGCTTATATGCTTTCAACTTTAAAGAGAGAAAAAAAGAACACTTTGAGAAGAAAACCTCCATTTATTCATCTGCATCCTCATTCTTGTAAACCTAACGAAAGAAAATATATGAATGTTAGCTTCAATTTTTTTTTTCAAATATTGCTAGGATTTAACATGTATTTTTTTAAGGTAAAAAAGAAAAGAAAAGAATCGATTCATATCTCATATGTTACACTATTTATCTAAGACATTAAAATGATTAAATTACTGGTTGATAAACCATAACCTAAAATTCAGGAACTAATTGTAAGGTAATGGGCTAAATGTAAGTATATGGTTTTTTTTTGGCCAATAAGAACATAATTGTTACCAAATGGATTGGACTTTTTTTTGTTCTTATATTAATTTTTTTTTGGCAGAAAAAGGGATGTGATTGTGATGTAGAATAAGATGAAGTTTTTTGAATTTAAATTTGTACAGGGGTGGGGCTGAGAAAACTGAAAAATTGACTGAAAATTTTGAATTGAATACACGGATAGAATCACAACGCAGAAGAAAGCAGAGTCAGGGTCAGGGATATATGCCCATAACCATGACCGTGACCAAAACCAAAACCAAAACTAAAAGAAACTAAAGCCTCGTTCAAAGTTTAGTCTCCTATCTCCTTCTTCCGATAAGGGAATAGAAGATCAAACTCATAATCTCGTAATGGAATATATACGTGCTCAAGTTGAAAGTTGAAACCGAAACAAATTTAATTAAATTCTATTTGATTAGAAACTTATTGGTTTTGGAAGGGTGGACCCGTGGCTGTGGGGACTCGGTTGTCAGACATTAATTTAAATTAAATGGAGGGAGAGAGAACAAAGTTTGTACTGTTCTGTTACACACTGCCATTTCAAAATTTGTACTACTATGGTATGGGAGTATACGTATATATACTCTTTTCACACTTGTCGCATTAAAACAAAGATGGAATTTACTAACATTAAAAATAATTTATAAAAAAAATTGTAGTTTCAACAAATGGAGCATGATACTCTCGTTGCAATATATGTGCCTCTAGCATAGCTATTCTCTTCCTGGACTAACATTAGAAACAACATGTGTGATTGCATGCTCTGTTATTATCTCCACCTCTATGTTAGTTTATTACTATGTAAAAATTAGGAAAAAAAATATATTTTTGATCTCTAAGGTTTGGAGTAGGTGTCTATTTGATACATGAGGTCTTAAAATATACATTTTCTGTTCATGAAGTTTTCTAAATGTTCTAAATGGTCCTTGAAATTCAGTACCGAATTTTGGTAGTCAATTGCCATCTTCATCTTCACTAGATGCCACCGTCATTGCTACTTCCTCCGGTGCCAAGGGAACGAAGGAGATTGGCAGGGGTGGCGAGCATTGAAAGAAAATTGTTGCCGACGGCCGATGATAAATTCCATCGGAGGGGAGGTAGAAAGAAGGCGAAAGGAAATTGAATAGATGATTTAAAAAAAATTCAGTCATTAAAAAATTAATATATTTGTCAAATCAACACAATACAATCTATAATTAAATTGCCAAATCATTTTAACATTAGTCAACTAAGGTCAGATTTTAGGGATTAAAAATATCTACTTTAAAACTTGATGGATTAAATAGACATCTACTTCAAAGTTCAAGTGACTATGATCTAAAATATAATTATCAACATGGACGGTCTATTAAATGTGGGCTAAATTGAAACTTAAAATTACGAGTTATCAACACAAAAATGTCTATTAAATGCATAAATGAGAATTTAGGAATATTAAAAATAATTACTAAATATATAATTATTTAGGGATCTACTAAAAATAATTACTAAATAATTATTTAATCTTAAACATTTTCAAAATTGCGTAAAAATTATAAAATCAACATTAGGTTTTCATTTTTTTCCAAAACATAAATAAAAATACTATTTTTTTATTATTGACTTATAAAATTCATAATAAATATAAAATTTTAGAGAACAAAAATAATAAATTATTGCTAAATATGTTTATGTTTAAAAAATGCCAAACAGATCAAAAACAAAAGACCATTACGATTTCATTTCTATTCCTATTTATTAAAAAAAATTGAAAATAGAAATCAAGAACTAAAAAAAGAAGAAAAATTGTGGTTTCTTTCTTTTTGTAATTCGAGACCGCGATAGGGGACCATGCGGCATATAATAAATGTTTAACACGTTTTAGACTTTGGAGTCTTTCGATTGTCACGAGTTATATAGACCTACATAAGTTTATTTAGATATTCAATATATGAAATAAATTTACCTAATTCATTAACTTAAGTTTTTGAGTTAAGTGGTGGTTTATTCATTATTAATAGAACGATCAATTGGTTGAGTCTAAATACTGAGTACATATACAAATTCAATATTTTTCCTTTCAAATTTATGTAATTATCTATTAACAATCTGGCCCATTCCCTTTCAGTATAAAGTATTGTAGAATTGATTAAAAGAGTAACTTAATACGATATACAAAATGACGATAACGGAAGGCGCTGGCTGAAAATATCACTGAAAATAATGCGATTAAAAAGAAGAAAAAAAACAGATATGAAGAGTCAAGTGGAAGGCATGACCTGGAAATCTATGAACAAATGGATGGCCAAGCTGACACGTACACAATAATAATATTAATTTACATTCCAATTCCTTTTTCAAGAACCAACCAACCCCAGCACAATGGCCTAAAAATAAAAAATATGCGTTCTAATTAAATTAATTATTGATTTTGCTTGCATCATCCATGCATGTGATTCTCGATGCAACTTTCCAATGCAATGATATAAAACGACAACTCTTTATGTCGTTTTTCCTCGCAATGTTTCAAACACACAGTATTGGGGTTTTGGAAAAGTTTGGTCGGTTATGGTAAGTTTGGGAAGTTATTATACAAATTTTTGTATGTGATGTTTTTTTGGTGATCCAATGATAATTTGCCACGACATGTACAGTAAAGTGAAAAAAAAAAAGTGGGGATTTGGTGGGAAGCTGGATGATTCGATATTTTGGTTGCTTATTCACGAGGGGTTATTGATTTGATGGAAATTGGAAAGTCATGTCAATGAAGCTTGGTTGTTTTTGAAGTTTTTTTCTGTAAAGTGATCATAAATGTTATGTGCTCTGTATTGTCCAAAATCAAACCCTTTTTTTTCCTTATTTTAAATTGATTTTGGCTCCACAAACCAAACATACTATACATTTAATTTTTTGAATGAAGTCGTAGCTAAGGTTCCTTTTTGCTTTGCCATGCGTGAATGCTTAAACATATTCAAAGAAAGAGCACGCCTAAGCAGCTAGTACCTTACAACAAGAAATGATAGTGAGGGGAAAGAAAAGGCAAAAAAGAAAGAAGGAAAAGTAGAGTAAATAACCAAACCAATGGGAAATGAAGTGAAGGATTGCAATTGCCGATGGGTATGGGCGTGGCCGCGCGCTTAACGCAGTCTAAGTTGTCCTTAAAGCAAGGAAAAGAGACCACTTTTTGGTTATTGAATTGTTAGAAGCTAGAATCCTTAACCATTTTTTTCTGGCCAAAAAGTAGAACTCCTTCCACAAGAATTCAAAAACCACGTGGTTTCTTGAAAAGTTGTTATTCCCCACCACAGACAGCAACCGCATGTACATGGCAGTTTGAGGTCCCCACACGTCGGTTACTTGCTGTGGCGATGCCCAGAGGAATTGCCAAATAGCAGCCCTCGCCTCTCCTACATCTCTACAACTTTCTCTTTATATGCCCCACCTCCTCCCTTGCCTCACCAACGCAACCCTTTGCCTCCTCTGCCTCTTTCTTCTCTCTTTGGCATTTTCACAAACACATTGCAGGCCCTTCCAACAGGTCCCTCAACCTCTCCACTTCCACACATTTTGAGACTGTTTAAGCCTTTTTTTTCTTTTCGTTCTTCTCCTCTCAACAGAGTTGCTGCTTTTGTGCAGGCAAAATGGCGTTTCCTGGACTTCTCTTGGTGGGTTTTCTTCTCTCTTTGGGATGTAATTTGGTCCATGGCGAAGAACGCTGGATGGATGCCCACGCCACGTTCTACGGTGGGGGTGACGCCTCTGGCACAATGGGTATGTAAAAGATCGCAACTTTCTTCGATTTTAGCAATTTTTGTCAAACCTCAACTTGTAATGAGTCGATTACGGGCTTGTTTTTTCACTTTTTTTCTGGCAGGCGGGGCTTGTGGATATGGGAACCTGTACAGCCAGGGATATGGGACGAACACAGCGGCTTTAAGCACTGCATTGTTCAACAATGGAGAGAGCTGTGGAGCTTGCTTTGAAATCAAGTGCGTGAACGATCCAGAATGGTGTGTTTCCAACTCTATTGTGGTCACTGCCACAAACTTCTGCCCACCAAATAACGCACTCCCCAACGACGCCGGCGGGTGGTGCAACCCTCCCCTGCACCACTTCGATCTCTCCCAGCCCGTCTTCCAGCAAATCGCTGGTTACAAAGCCGGCATTGTTCCGGTGGCCTACAAAAGGTTGGAATTTCGGCCTCTTGGCTCAACATTTTTTTTAGATTGATTGTAGTTTTTGAGATTTGTGGTGGTCCGTGAGAACAGGATTTCTTGCGAAAAGAAAGGAGGGATGAGATTCACAATAAACGGGCATTCGTACTTCAATCTAGTGCTGATAACGAATGTGGGGGGCGCCGGCGATGTTCAGGCGGCGTGGATAAAAGGGTCGAAGACGGGGTGGGAGGCGATGTCCAGGAACTGGGGCCAGAACTGGCAGAGCAATTCTAATCTGGACGGCCAAAGCCTGTCGTTCAAAGTGACCACCGGGGACGGGCGGACGGTGATCTCCAACGACGTGGCGCCAGCTGGGTGGAGGTTCGGCCAGACTTTTAGTGGGCAGCAGTTCCCGTGAAGAAGAACAGAGACCGAGACCGAGAGGGTTTTTAGCTTTTAGTTTTTTAGGAAGTTTGATTTTGTGTCGTTGAGTTGAGGTCGAGGGGGCACTGCTTTTAATGTGTCGTCTCTCTCGCTTAGGCTTAGGTAAGTTTGTTTGAATGTGGGGTTTGGAGTTGTGTTGTGCTGTGTGTTTTTTAAAGACAGTGGCATGGCAGAGGCAGACTACTGAAAAGTGGTGGCAGCGGTAGGCAATTTGACACCCGCCACTTATTTGTGTGAAACTGAAACTGCTTTGTTATATTATAATGTAAGTTTAGTTAGGTTGTTGTTTTGTTGGGTTTTTCTTTTATTTTCTATGTCCAAAAGTTGTAGTAGGATCATTTGTAATGTAGTGGGAACCAGCTCTTTTGATGCCTCCTCTTCTCACTTTTGTTTGGTTGATTTTCTTTAATGTTTGTCTGGATTTGGAGTTTATAGTATTTGAGTATATTTTCACTCCACTTTTAATTTCATCTAATAATTGTACTTGAGCAAAATTATACTCGATTAGTAGATGCTTAATTCAAAATTGACAAGGCCCAAAAGAAACATAACACAAAATTAATAGTGTTTATATGTAACTTCATCCTACATTTGGAACAACCTTAGAACCTAAATTTAAAACGACATCCTTAGTTCTAGACATATTTATTGTTAAACAATATTAAATATCTTGTCGAGGTTAAAGTAAGTTTGTAGCTACTAGATCTTACACTTTGCTCAGTAAAGTCAATATGTACCAAATATGTGGCAAATTTGTGGCCGTAGAAATTGACTTGATATGTATGTATGTTTGGACTGGACATCTATAGCTGGCAATCCATCCCGAATCCCCAACTTTAAGTGAGAAGTGTAAGACTTTGTAAGATAAAAGTAGGGAGAGTTTTTCCATAGCATTGTCAATTTCTCCTTTCAGTAATATCAAGGACATTTGAGAGATTCAAATTTTGTGCTGCACTTAAGATTTTTTAAATCAAACGACCATGTCCACCTCGAACGAATCATCAGAAATAATCGAAATCTGTGACGAAATCAAATAATCTCCCCAAATTTCGAGTTTCACAAAACAATTAGTAAATATATTGAAGCATTTCCTCCCAAAGTTAATCAATCAAAATCTGCGACAAAATCGACTAATCTCCCCAAATTTCGAGTTTCACAAAACAATTAGTGAGCATATTGAACCATTTCATCTCCAAAGTTAATCACATTATTAGTTGGTTTCACCAAGTGAGCCATCCAATGCTAAAATGTGAAGACGATTGTGCCACTACCATGGACGATCCTCTATGGACCATTGCATTCACAATCCTAAAACACCTCGTTGAGATTCTCTTCTTGAAAAGAAGAAAAACCCCCAAAGAAACAAGATCTCAATCCGCTTTACTTTTAGAACGATAAATCGACAAACCACAGTGGTGCAGCAGGATGTGGAACCATGACGGTTGGAATATCAAAAGTATATTTTACCCTTTAAAATAATATATTTTTATTTAACAGTACATGAGGGTAGAGATTCAAATTTTCAACTTTTTAGTGAAACTATATAGCTGAACTAGATGAGTTATACTAAGGTCCGACTCTTAAAACAATTATCTAAAACTTCACTACTAAAACATCTCATAGATACCAAACCTAAATTTCTTAAAACTAAATTTGCATCTTGCATCATCAAATTAATTTTAATTTAATGAAGTTGAGGGGCATTTTTTTTAAAATCTCTCTGGGCTTCAAATCAATTGTGAATTTCCCAATTTTTATCGTGGCCCACTGGATCTTCAAGAATGGAACCTAAAGCCCAGTTAGATTAGAGAGGTGGCAAAGGCACAGGCTTATTTCGGGACATTTTCTAAAAATTGTTTAAATGGTAAAAAAAAAAAAGTTTTCGAAGAATTTAAAAAATATTTCTAATCGTAGCATTTAGTCTTTAACATATTAAGAACTAAGAAGTATATTTAACTATTTAAAGATCATTTTGTTTAAAAATTAAAAAATAGTAAAGGCGTTGTAATTACTTAAAATAGTGGCGCCTAGATTTCCGTCGATTAGAAGAGGGCCACTTGTCGTTCTCAGATTGGCAAGCCATGATTCCACGTGGATATATTTCAGACAATCGTATCTCTTGCAGAAGGTCCCTCCACGTAGCACAGCCAGGGCCCCACAGCATCATTATTCGGCCAATGGAAACCAAGAAACAGATTCGAAGATATTACTCAAAGGATAAAGCGATAAGGCCCCATCGGTGCCTTCCCCAAATTCTGGCCGTTGGATCGCGGAAATCTTGGCTACCAACCGTCAGATCCGAAGAGCGAACGAGAACCACAAGCTTTAGCTTGGCATTGAAGTGAAGTTACAAAGGGCAGCAAATTAGTCCCCCATCTCTTACTCTGAAGATCCATTTTCTTCCTCAACCCCCCAAAACAAAAGATGGCAACCGTCACGACTCAAGCTTCCGCCGCCGTTTTCCGGCCATGCGCCTCCCGGTCGAGGTTCCTATCTGGGTCTTCGAGTAAACTCCACCGCGAGCTGTCGGTTAAGCCCGTGGCCGCTTTGTCATCTTCATCCTTGAAGGTGGAAGCAAAGAAGGGAGAGTGGTTGCCAGGTCTGCCGTCTCCGGGATACCTGAATGGCAGGTAATGCACCCATACATGGATTAGTATTCACGCGATTCCGTCCAAAATTAATTGTCAACAAGAGAAATAGTCCAGTCTAAGTAGGATCTTGACATGTCCTTCGCAACCATGACTCTTTTGACTTGCTGAACTTGGTTGAATTCTATTTTTATACTGAATATTCGTTTGAGTTTCTGTGCTGGATGATAGAAGTAGTCACGTGGGATTGTGAACAAAATTTAGTTTTTCAAATTGTGTGAATTTGACTATATGATGTGGATATGTTGCAGTCTTCCGGGGGACAATGGATTCGATCCACTGGGGCTGGCGGAGGACCCAGAGAACTTGCGGTGGTTCGTGCAGGCGGAGCTGGTGAACGGGCGGTGGGCGATGCTGGGGGTGGCCGGAATGCTGCTGCCGGAGGTGTTTACGAAGATCGGAATCATAAACGCGCCGCAATGGTACGACGCCGGAAAAGCAGAGTACTTCGCGTCGTCGTCGACCCTGTTCGTGATCGAGTTCATTCTGTTCCATTACGTGGAAATCAGGAGATGGCAGGACATCAAAAACCCAGGCAGCGTCAACCAAGACCCCATTTTCAAGCAGTACAGTTTGCCCCCAAACGAAGTGGGCTACCCAGGCGGCATTTTCAACCCTCTCAACTTCGCTCCCACTCTCGAGGCCAAGGAGAAGGAGATCGCCAACGGTAATCAGAACAAACAACCAAATTTAAAGAAGATTTATGATATGTTGTTGTGATTTGTGAATGGGTTTGTTTGTTTTGTTTCAGGGAGACTGGCAATGTTGGCGTTCTTGGGGTTCATAGTTCAACATAATGTGACTGGAAAGGGGCCGTTTGAGAACCTTTTGCAGCACATTTCAGACCCGTGGCACAACACCATTGTCCAGACCTTCGGTGGGAATTAACTAAATTGGTTTCCAAATTGAAATTGAAATTGTTGTTAAGCATTGCGATGAACTGAAATTCTTTTGAGATGGAGTTTAGTGAATGTTAGTGTACAGGGGTGGGGGGATGAGGCTACCATGTGGCTTCCATGTTATGATGTTTAAATGAGACATTCCTTCACTTGATATATGAGTTGGGTTTTGCTTAGTTTCAACATTCAGATATTCACTTCACTTACAGTCAAATTCGAAGGTTGTTTATTTATTTTTTCAAGTTAGAGGTTTGAACCCTTCAATTTCGATCCAACTTTTCACATTTTTTCTCCGGAACAAAGGAAATCAAAATATAGTTTTGTCACGAATATTTGAATTTTTAAATGATTGATTTTTGTTCTAACAAAGAATGGAAGAACAAATGCATTTGAGAAGATGCGAGTCAAACAAGAGAGCTCAATCTATCCCTCTATCTATTTGAGAAATTATTGACTGTGGTTGCTATTTGATAATAGTTCTGTTACATATTTGAAATTTGCATGCCTCCTAATAACTCTTAAATATATTTAAAAATCATTTTGTAATTTTTCTCTTATAAATTCTTCAATGGTGTGAAAATAGCGTCCATATTATTCCAAAATCCTCCAAAAATTTCTCCTATATTCATCATCTAAGAATATAATTAAAAACTTCTTTCTCCAAAGCATCCTTAGGAAACCTTTATGTTTACACCATATTTAATGAGAAGAAAGACTCCAATAGACTTACCCTTCAATCATCGAGCAATGTCGTGATCTCCTAAAGAAATTCCCCTTCAAATCATATTCAAGAAGCTTAAAAGCACATGAGACTTTTTTTTGTAACCCATGATTGATATGGAAAAGACTGATCCATCGTATAAATCATGTTATTTTTCTTTTTTTTGTTGAGTACAGCATGTAGGATGGAGAATCAAACTCACAATCTCATTAGAAGTATATGTCAATTATTGTTAAGTTATGTTCGTTTGGACCAAAATAGGTGTAATTGATGATAGTGAAATCTATCTTTTCTTTATCAAGTTTGAGATTGTATTTTCTTAAACCTACCACGATTGAAGCTTTGTAGATATATATTTTTTTTACCACCACAGTGGGAGTGCAATACACCTAAACAAATAAGAGAGAAATTATTAGGGTGTAGGGTGTCCCTTCGGTAAAAAAAAAAAACCTATAATAAGTAAAGAATAATAATCTTGCATTCGTAAAAATGTGAATAAGTGTATTGTTGTTCAAGCTCTTATTGATTTACGCAACTCCAAACTTGCATTTGACAACTTCCATCCCAACCAGTAGCAGATCCATAATTTTCATTTAGGAGCTTCACTTAAAATTTAATAGAAATAATTTATAGGTTAGAAATCTCAAAATTCATAACTCAATTAAATTATTAATTTAGTATATCATAATTATCTTCTACGATTTTTTATATTATAAAATCGCTGCATAATAACTCCAATTAGTGACACATCAAAAACTTTATAGAAAGTATGGATATGAGTTTACATATTTTGATTATTAGTTTGTTCAATAAAAAATGACTTGATTTTTATATATAAATATACAAGAAATAAAGAGAACAAAACTTATTCGATATGTGGAATCGTCTTGCACCATATGTATTGAGATTGTTCAGGAGACATGATCCGGTGAAGAAATAATAAGGAGATTTTTTTATTTATAAGAATTATAATGTTTTCTATACGATTAATTAAAATATTTTGTTAATATTAAATTTTTTTTATCAATTTTAAATACGACTTTATATTATAGGACTTTTATTATACATAAAATTTGTGTTAAAAATTTACCAACAGAGATCAAAATAGTCCCCTTTTTTGAAAGTTTAAAAGAAACAAAACAATATTTTAAAGGTAGAACTAAAATAAACTAAAATTAAAACTACATGAACCAAATAAATACGACCAAAATAGTATTTTAAAAAAAAAAACTAATATATAAAAATATGGTTCTGAATAAAATAATTTTAAAAGATTAATTTGTAAATTTAAAGAAAAAGCAATAGAATATCACAGACGAGACGACATGTCGTTTACGAAGTGAAATGAAAGGAGGTCCAGTTTCGATTATTACCTCTCAAATTATATCCATGGCCGAGTGAAAGAAGATGAGGGCTACCAAAGAATCGAAGAAGAAAACTCGTCCATCATCACCGCTCAGGGACCGAACCGGCGCCTCCGACAGGTTCGAATCGAGGCGTAATGGGTCTCGCCCATCAACCATCACTCCCTCTTCTTCCCTTCGGGAACGGGACCTCGTCACCGGCGACGACTGTCTTCTCCGAGACCTAAAACTCTCTCCCGATGACTCAGTTTCAGACTATAATCCCCGTAGCTTTCCTCACAGTGTGAAGCAGCAATGCTGGGACAAGGCCGAGAAGATCAAAGGAAGGGACCCAGCTCGGTGGCGCCGAGATGCTCTTGGTAACATCGTTTTTCGGAAGCTTGTTGGCTGCCCCGGTTGTCTTTGCCATGATTATGATCACATTTTGCCTTACTCTAAGGTAGTTCCCTCTTCGAATTCTACTTTTACCCCCAGATTTTCCATGCTTAGTCCTAATTAAGGTTATATGGTTCAGATAAGTAAGAACCCTTTATAATATGTTTGTTGGAGATATGGGTCATTTTTACTTTTAATTCTACATGCGTGTTTGTGCTCTTTGACTTGTGGGCGGCTCCTTCTGACATTTATTCAAATGTTTATAAATACAGTATTTGAAATTTTGAGGCTCGCAAATGGTTATGGATTTGAGTTACAAATTGTAATCTCCTCTTTCATTGGACCCAGATGATGTATGAACAAATATTGCTTTGCTATCTGCTTATTGCTTCCTACGTTTTCGTGGAGTTTACCAAGTGATAACATTGTAAGAGGACTTACTAATTGGTCGAAGTTTATGTATATGGAAGCTTAGTGTAAGCAACTAAATGTATTAAAGGAAGAATGAACTGGTGAAATGGAAATAAGTTTGGATACAAATTACAATCAATTATCAGTAAGCACGGACTTCTTTATGACTTAGAAATTTTGCAGGAGGTTTTGGATCTCCTCATCCAAACTGAGTGTGACTATTCCATTAGTCATCCCTTGACTCTTGAGTATCAATTTTTTATTTTGTATTTTTTTGTATTTTTTAAAAGTTGAGTATCCAGATTCTGAGAGTATAATTGGTGCAAAAAATTCAACTTTGCCATATATTTTTCTTTCCAAATTCAGTTTCTGTTTATGCGTCACTCTTGATATTGAATTTGAATATTTCAAATTGCAGGGTGGAAAAAGCACTTTGGAAAACTGTCAGGTTTTGCAGGTAATGGTTCTAATGATTTTGCTATATACGTTCCATCTTCCAAACTTCATTTTGAGCACCAAACTCAACTTAGTTTGTAGACGGCTATTTTCGATGATACGAGCCATTATTGCTTCAAACTAAGAGATCTAATGGGACGTTACAATTTTAGAGGACAGAAATGTAGCATATTCATATACTGGTGAACGCGAAATAATTAACATATGTGTTTCAGGTTCTCCAAATTCCTTTGATAAATACTGGTCTTCTGTTTGCTAAATAATGTGTTTCCATGATCTTATGCTTCTACATAGAAAACCTTTATGTTTACACTATATTAACGAGAAGAAAGACTCCAATAGACGTACCCTTCAATGACTCCCTGTTCAATTATTAGCTTCTTGCACTCTCTCATACCTTTCCTTTGAGGTACCGAAACAGCTCTTTCAGTTGGCTAATCGTCTTCGGTCGTTCTTCTTTACCCGGGAATCGCTGTTATATACTAGAGTTTACCATAGTAAATCACTTGCTGGATTATAGTTGAAGTACTCAGATTTTCTAACCGTCATGTATAAGAGAGCATTACATATCTTTTCAGTCGCATATTGCTTATTTCCAAGAACTCAATTTACATTCTTGTAAACTCTGCGGGTTATTTATCTGGAAAGAAGCACAATCACATAGCGTTCAGATTAAAACGCTTAAAGTGTGTATATACCTTATTCCAGTTGCTGATGTTTGGAGTCATTTTACTGTTGTTGGGGACTGTACCACCATTACTCAAATTCTGATCCAAACTCATCTCGTAGTAAATTTTTATTATGGGCTGGTATTAATTGGATGTCTGTTCATGCTTCTGCAATCTCTTCAAGAGGAACCGGACTACAAACTGTTCTTTAAATTTGAGAAACAAACAACACTTCAGTATTTTGTTCTTTAAAAAACAGCATGCATGAAAGAACTACCCTAAATTCATACTATGTTTTACGCACTATTTTGTGATGACTGTATCTTTTATGATGTAGGCAACCGTTAATCGAACAAAGGGAAACCGTACTGAAATTTCAAGGGCAGAACTAATACAAAAAAGCTCTTACTGCCGGGTTTCAGGTAAGTACACTGGCCTTGTTAGACTACAATACTTTATGGTAGTAATATTATTCAGTCAATTGGTTTGAATAATTTGCAGGTCGAGACATGGATCTTCTTGAATTATCTGCCTATGGAAATGTACATCGTGGACAAGACTCTGGAGGGTGTAAAATTCAGTGACTAATTTGAGTGATTATAAATTTATAACCTGTAGTAGAATCGATTCCAGCATGAGACGTGGAAACTCAACAAAAAAAGATTGAAATGAAAAAAGTAGGGAATTTTCCTGGTGTTTTTTAGTACATTCCTTTCTATGTATCGGGTATGTATGAATCGCTTATACGAACAATCTCATTGTTGAGAACAAGCGATGGCTTATGCTCTGATGTTTCAGATGTGTATTGGACCTATGATCGAAGGGTTACAGTCAAAAGCAAGTTCATCATACTGGAGAGGAAAGAAAGTGAAAGAAAAAGCATAAAATGGAAGTGTATGAGCAAGTTGTCAATACATTTGTAAAGTTAAAATTCTTACCAATCCCATTATCAGGCAGGAGAGAAGTTGGATGTTCCTTTCTTCTTTTTCTTTGAGTTATTGGGAAGTGATGCTTCACATCCACACTTCTTTCTTGTGGATGCTTTTTGAAACAAAGGAATTTTTACCTACTTTGGTTCAATCAAATGTGACAGGAACAGCAAGAAACTGGGTCATTAAGCAACTTAGTGGAAAGGATTCATTACTTTGCCTTTTCGAATCATTTCCATCCATTTTTTCTTATCCAGTTTTCTATTGGATACTGAGGAGTAGGGACTAAGATAGTGCTGCTCAATTGGAAATGAATTATTCTGATCCAACTGCAATGCATCACTTTGAGCTATAGTCAATGGTTGAAAATGCACCCAATTCTCTGGGTCACACTAAAAATCTTATTTCACATAATCCAATTTTTTTCTTATTTCTAAAAAGTGATTATTTGGTCCCTTCATTTTATTTTTATCTCATTTCTTTCATCATAATTTTAATAAGACATTTCACTTACTAAATTTATTGGAATGTAGCTATATATTTGAATTTAAGAGTTTTCATTTGGTGTTAAAATTTTGCGAATAGAAAATCATATTGGCCAATTTTAAAAAATACAGAGATATTTTGAATGTCCAAGACAGACGAAAATAAATCAAAACTAAAAGCGCAGCTACCAAAATAGAAAGCATTAACGGAAGACGGAAGTTGACTGTTAATCCCTGTGAGTTCTGTGCAACTTTTCCTGAACCAAGTCAACTTTGGCACAAATAACCAATAATTTAGAGTGGAGGTGGTGGAATTACATGGAGTAATAGCTGCTGACCAAACTGATAAAAATAATCACATTACATAAACAAATGCCTCTCTCTTCAGATATTCCAAAGCATGCACTCGATGTCAGTGGAAGGAGCACTAATTTCTTGGATTTTACTGCTCACAGACTACAAATATAATACAAGTCATAGTGTAAAGCTGGTAACTCATTCTCTGGGTGTAACTTCACTGACTAATATACAGATTTCAAATTGTTCAACTGAAGTTTAAAAATCTAAGTTTCTTTCACAGAATGATATGTCAGTGCAAATTGCCAACTGGGTTCACAAGAATTTAACAAATTGCAATTAATTCTGTAGCTTCTCACAGAACTAAACCAGAGATGAGCATATGGATGTGAATCAATGGGCGGTGGTTTTCACATGGGGGAGAAAAGAGCAAAAAAGAAATAGAGCAATATCTAGAGAAAATGCCAAGAATGATTTTGTGGCATTAGTTTCTGGGTCCTACAATGACTAGAACAGCTGATTTTCTACATAATATGTGGTCTACATTTCTTCCCACCCACAAAATATCTGTGTGTTCATTTGCTAATTGATTAGGGGCGATGATGACGTTGATACTTTGGTTTTTGGTGAAAATACAAGTTGTTTTTTATGACATTTTTGATCTCATGCATAAGAATTTTACATTCAACCAGTCAAACATCTTTTTTCTAAATTGGCAACTCGCTTGAAGTTTCTATGTCTATGTTTACTGTAAAGTAGATAAAATTAATGTATGTTCCACAAAAGAGGGAGGCAAGTGAAAAGATATGGAAAAAGAGAATCCCATATGGTTATCTACTACTTTTTTACCCCAAGTTTATAACTTTGGGTCAAGGGCCAGAAACGTTTTGTCCAAGTTTGTTTCTTTTACCATAAGAAAGAAAAGGAGTGGAAAAGAAAGCTGTTTGTGTGATCATATCTTTTAGAACCAGTTGTTTTGGAGTTTTGTTGGGGAAAGGGACTTGACTTTTCCTTTTATTTTTTTGTTGATCTGAACTAGTGAGGGTTCAAAGATCTAGCCATCTAGGATTTGTGACTTGTATTGCTCAGCCTTTTTGGTGCTCACCAAACTGTCACTCTACTTTTTCCAATGCTTAGCTGTATGGATTATCACATGTTGCATTGGTAGTTGGCAATTGGCATCATTTTGAGATATTGAAATGCATTTTCTATCCATTTACTGTGTGTATGTACTTACCTTTTTTGAATACTTGAAAATGTTTCAAGTGAAAGATGACACTCATTTCTTTGGATCTAATCAGAGCAATGATTTCTCAAGTTTGGGTTTGAAACAGGGGGAACTGCCAATAATATCAAACTTGAAGCAAACTTGACTGCATTTTTATACATTGTCTGAGAATCTTTGCTGCAACTCTACATCAGTTATTCACATATGTAAAGATATGTACAAAAGGATGGCTTGAAAATTGCATAAACTTGAGATATGAAAAAGGTAATGGCTGCTACTCTTTCTATGGAGAGAGAACAAGTTCCAGGATTCTTGAAAAACTGGATTGCTTCTTGGGCAGAAGAAGCTGAGATTGCTTTTCTCCACTTCATGCTTAAGCTTCTGAACTTCACCGAGGATTTTTACAATGAAGCTGGATACTGGAAAATCAATTCTTGAAGGAGGAAGGAAAGTTACCCATAAGTCAGATTAAAGGATAAAAATCCAACTTCCCTCGTAATGTGGATGAAAATTTCACATGACTAAAGTACCATTCACGAATGCTCATGGAAAGTGAGAGATCTTGACAAGGCTGCAGGGTTAGCTTGCAAAAGGGGAGATAACATTTCAGAAACGTTATTCTTCTGATCAGTCTTTGATTGGAAGACCTTAGATAGATTAACCGCTTTGGCTGAATCATTCTTAATACCGAGTGTCTCCCAAATTGAGCTCTTAGCTGCTTCATTTGGATCATCAATCCTTAAAGTTTTGGGAACCAAAACACATCCATTCTTCTGTTTTGGAGGTTCTTCTTTCTCAGAATTATCAGCCTGGTTTCTGTCACTATCTCTCGAATGCTTCCCCAGTGTAGGAGACCGCGGACCAGAGTTTGGAGAACAGGGCTGTGGAGGGAACCACGGAATACTCCAAGCGCCTGGAACGCCACAGCTCCAATATGTTGCAGGATAGAATGATAAGGGAACTCCAGGAGGGCAGAAGGCTGGTGGTGGTATTGGTGCGTTCCATGAACAAGGCCAAGGAACACCAGGAAGATATGGGATTTGAGGAGGGAAACCATTGATGTTCTGCATCTGTGGTTCTTGAGGGCATCTTCTGGCTCCTTCTTCCATTGAACTTGACATCGTCACAGAAGATGCACTGGAACAATCATCGCCAGTTTCACCATCCTTACAAGGTGCTTTGATTACTTGGTCTTCAAGTCTATGAAATTCATTCCTGGTTCCATTCAAGACCTTTATTTCTGCAGGATTGAGGACAGTGGCCATAGATTCACATGCAGGTGCATTTATACTGAAATTGAGGACTCTGCCATTGCTTTCAGATTCTAGGCGGTTGACCCCATTGGGAACATCAATTTGTGCAGCTTGAAGAGCCTCTGAGATCGTAATGTGTCGGTATTGGGAGGCAGAGTTCTTGTTCTTTCGGCGGCCAGCTCCAACAGGGACATTCCTCATCGTTCCACCTTCAGTCCAATATCTTTGACAGGCTTTGCAAAAATGGCGTGGTTGATTGACATTATAATTATTGTAATAACAAAACTTTGTTTCCATGCTATTGCAGCGGGGACATGGAAGTATTTTATCTGGTTTCTTCAATTTCTCTTTTGAGTTGGTTGCATCATTCTGTTCTTTCTCAGTTTTGTTTGTTGCGAGCTTATCATTTTCATCTATTGATGGCACTTCAGGATTCATATGCGCCTCATTTGCCGTTTGTAGACATTCAGAATCCTCTGAATCATGAGGAGTTTCCTCTTTTGCTGTTGAACTCTCAGTAGCTTCTCTTACAACTGCATCCTGAAAATTGAAACAGTTCTTAGTACTCTTTAGTTATTACAAATACCATATAAGTTAGATTTATATTTCAGAAATCAATAGCGGACGAGGTACAGGGACAGTATGATAACATAGAAGAACAAACAGTAGTGGTATTTAATTTACATTTCTTTTCAAATTGTAAGTGTTGTTCCAATATTTTCTTCTTCTTTTTCTCTTTTGGGTTGGGAAAGGGGTGTATCTACTGGTTTGTCGTCAAAGTGTGACAAAGTCAAACGGCTAAGAAAGTATTGAATCCACTGAAACTTGAGAAAAGCCATATAAGAGTATCTAACCACTAGCTGCACGGAATAGGATATTCCAAAGAAAACGATATTAAGACGAATGGAAATTACAAGTTTAATACTAGCAAATCTCGAGTAATAAGAACTCCAGCTTGATTATAGGAAAATTCTCTGTACTTCTAGTTACTTAAAATTTAAAATTAGGAAATAAACTAATTCGTTGCTTCAAATTTTGCTTTCAAAAATGAAAATTCACCGATTTGCCGTTTCAATGAAAAAAAAGAGAAAAAAGAAAAAAATAAGCTAATACAAGTTAGATTGATGCAGGCTTTATTATTTGAATCCAAAAGAATTGCGGAATTCATTTTCCCCCTACGAACTTCCCTAGTTCCGAACATCAAATCCAAATCAATATCCATTGGACGATCCCCCAAAATGTCAGAAAAGGATATTTAGCAACGAAATACATCAAAATCCGCTTCAGAAAATGAATAAAAAGCCGAAAACAACAAAATCTGAAGAACATCTAAACGGTCAACACACCAACCGCGCTGCCAGAGTACGGTAGTTCCCAAAGAGGAATAGAGAGAGAGAGATAGGGAAATAGTGAAACCGAATCGCTAATAGTAGTTGTACCATTCGCTAACACAGGTCGAATTCAGGTTCGGATAACAGAGTATACAAAATCCATGATGGAATGAACTACTGTACCTTCTCGCCTGCTCCATATTCTCCATCTTTCTCCGAACTAGAATCCGAATCATCGCTTTCAATCAACGGAAGTTCACAGTCGGCCGGAAGGGGAATCTCCTTGCCGAAAATTTTAATGGCAGGATCCTTAATCTCAAGCATTTTCTAGGCCAAAAGAACAGAAAAATGAAAAAAAAGAGCGCGAGAAAATTAGGGGAGAGAGAGAGGAAAAAGAAGAAGACGAAGAAGAAGAATTGGATATTGGCAGTCTCGGCTGGCATTGGGCATCCTTGGTCCGCGTTTTTGATCCGTTTAAGCAAGAGGTGGATGCCACGTCATCGTTCTTATTTCATTACCAGCCACAAGTTTCTTCGTATTCTGATTCTCGGTTGCACACACATTTGGTGCACCCATCACCCATGTAACTTTTTTTAAAAAAGAAAATTGAATAAATAAATTATTACATTATTTAATTAAAGCGACCAGCACTGTCACATGCCCATTTTTACAAAAATTTATCCCTACTTTACACATCATTTAATCATTCAAGATGAAAAAAATAAAATTTCTTCAAAATACATTTTTTTACAGGTACATTCATCTCGATCAGTTTATCAACAATCACTTAACCCTTATATTAATTTTCAACTACAGTCAACTTAAGTCTAACTCAATTAGTTAAGAAATGTATCTCTATTAAAATACAATTATGGTGCTTTCCTCGTAATAACGACTAAAAATTAAACAGTTATTTATTTTTATAAAAAAATATTTATTTTCTTTCCATACATTTTTCTTCATTATTTGTGAAAAATTTAAATGAATAAAAAATTATGTGAGACGTGGTTTGTAATTTTCCAAATACATCTTTTTTACAATTACGTTTTACTATTGTCGTACTTGAAAAAAGAAACCATCAAATTCTAAATTCAAAGAATTGAAATTTTGGAAAAGGGAAGCAAAGGAAGGAAAATAGTGGAAATTCCTTTTCTTTTTTCTTTTTTTTTTTTCCTTTTTTCCGACGTGGCCCACGCAGGGAAAAAGCTTTTCAGCTTTTTTCCAAGTTGTTAAACCAATACGTCTAATCATAATCCACGTCCTCGAAATTCGACACGTGTGAGAAATCTATAGCTTTTGCCTTTTACTGCACTTGACTTTGTCTCCGTGTAAAATTTACATCTCCAGAGCGTGACACGTGTCCCACTAATGAGATGACTTTTAAGTCTAGAAACTTACGCTATTGGACCACGTAAGAGTAATTAAAAAGCAAAACCAAACAGAAATCTTTTTTGTCTTTCGGTGTAAAAAGAGTCAACAGTTTCTTAATTTAATTTAATTTAATCAATTTCATTAAACATAAGATAAAACTAATTAATATGTCTACTTCATGTGTAAACTTTTTCCCGTTAGATTATATTAATAATAAGGACGGCCGCGTGGGCGGTGGGGATAATTAACCCATTTCTTTTAACAATTAAAGAGAGGTAGACGTGGTATTATTAAAACAATGTATTAAAGTATTGATTAATATTTAAAGTTGGAGCATTAAGATTGAAGGTATTACAATGAGTCTTAATGGACATTATTATAATTTAAATTCATTATGATAAGCTCTACTTTTTTAAGTTAAAAGAATATACGTTACAGTACATTCAACTAGGTTTGTTAATGATACAGAAAAATCTTCCTAATTTTTTGTTATAAATTAAATTTAATTGTGTGCTACCTTTATGCTTATGCTTTTGATGCAACAATTATAATTTTAGACAATTTTAAATATTTTATAATGCTTTTGCTACATATTAGGAGTTTTAATATCTCATTTTACAAGCTTTCCCAAAAAAAGATTTTAGAAACAATTTAGACTCACAAGTTGAGTTTATTTTATAAATTCTTTATTGACCAAAATATATATATATATATATATATATATATATAACTGTCACGAGAGTGTTAATTATACTAATTGATTTTTAAAATTCATATTATCTTTGAGATGTGATTTATAGAGTCAAATTTGTATTTGAGAGATATTTATGGTTTGTATTTATGGTAAAATAAGTTCAATTAATTAAAAATAGAGTAATAATATTATAGATTTGAAAATATAGTAAAAAAGATAAAAATAAAAAAATCCTTCCGAAAAACTTTATATATATCAGTTTATTAGTGATGACAGACGTTATAACTGAGCGGTGTATGGAGATAAAAATAAAATTGTCTAAAATTATCCAAACAGATGTATGAGAAAATTTTTAAAAACTTTTAGGTTTACAAAATCATGATTATGTTGTTAAATTTTCAAATATGAATGTTAATCTGCGGATAAGAATTTAGATTTTGTGAAATACATATTGCTTACAACTTACCTATTGTACGGGAAGTATGAAATTGGCTGCCCAGACATATGTTAAATTTTCATTTGTTCAAGTTTAAAGAAAATAAAAAAAAATTAACAAATGAAAAGCTGACACGTGTCTGGTGGTATGGATTTTATGTTCTTTTTTATAAGTAGAACAAATTAGAAGTAATATCAATCTAGTGCAGAATTATGTTATTTTGGCTGATTTTATTCTCTTCAGTTATATACATATCTGTGAGAATGATAAACTAGCGATCAATATGTAGGTTTCTAATTCGGATTATGCGGCAAAGATTAATGTGACAACAAAAAAAATAAAGAAACTTTCTTGTTTTATTTTCCTTTTTTTCCCGTAAAAAAAAAAAAAAGTTTCTAATCTGGCCAAGCATAGCAAGCACCAAATATTTGCCATTGTTAATTATTTAGGAAGGAAACAAAATCACAGAAATCACTCTGTATTGCAACAGAACATAAAGAAAAATGCATACATAAGTTTATGAATACTTCCCAAGAGAAGAAGAAGGATTCAAAAAATGAAATTGAAGTCAGTGTGGAGATGGGGAGATGGAAGGAGTCGGAGATGGATCCACAGCCGGAGCCGGGCCCGAATCCGGATCGGTTTCTGGGGCCGGAGACGGAGAAGCAGATGGAGATTTGGTTTGATCGACTCTCTCAAACCCGAATTTCTTAATGAGTTCATTGGCGATCAACTCGTTAGCCCTGTCTGATGGATGGTACTCATCCCAAAACACATATTTGCTTCTGTCTTTGCACAACACTGATGCAGGAACACACGTAAGAGCAGGTCGAATCCTCCCGAATGAGCAGCATGGCGAATCCGAGTTACTAAACCCTGCAACATTCCCTTCCATCATATTTAATTTAAGATTTAAATCTCATTTTGATCCTTGAACTTTCAAGCTTAACTAAATTACCGTATTTAGAAGGGTTGCTGATGACGTCGGCCACAACGTCATAAGCATCCCCAAATTTGTAGGTGGCGTTGGGAAGTCTGGAGGAGAGGCCATCAAGAAGATTACTGGTGGCCTTGTTGAAGCTGAGGGCCAGATTGTTGGTTCTGTCCTGGCACTCACCGGAAGAACTCAGCACCCTCTGCAGAGGAATGCAGCCCATTGGCCCCAGCCCAAACACCATCAGCTGCCTTGCCCCCAAACTGTATAATAACTGTAAACAAACCGTAAAAAAATTAGCACAAGACTCACCAAATAGCGAAAATTTCATAAATTTTGCGACGTACCTTGAGTTGATCGCGAAGGGTTTCCATCAAATAGGTGACGAAAGTTTGGTCGTTGTACTTCCAGGAGTCAGAGTACACGGGCATGAGGTAATTGTTGATGAAGTCGTTGCTTCCCAAGGCGACCACATATCGAGCCTCTTGGAAGAACTCGTTGGCTTTTTCTTTGCCAAGTCTGGCTTTCATCAGTTCTTGTGTTCCTTGAAATAGCTGAATCTGCTTGTACAGAGGAAACCTCTGAATCTGCAAAATAGATAATATGGGAAGATCAGAGGAAGCCTAATCAAAAGATTGGT